GATGATGTACGTGCACTATTAACTAATCTCGTTATTTCTGGTCTATGCTCGATCTACTTGAGCTCTCTTATTGCTTCGTATCGTCAGTACGTACTTCCATCTTTCCTCTATGTCTAGTGTTGCCAGTCGGACTCGGGCGAAGCGGGCACGTACCTTATCTCCGCACCCACATGGAGATTCACAACAACATTACAGACTTGTTAGCAAAAGTTATGTTCTTCTCACAGCAGAAAATGTGGCGCCGTCTGGTACGTCCTCTTGGGCAAGCCATTCACCCCCGGTGAGAAACCCAACACATGCATCTGCGCTCGATGATGAGTTTGTCGAGGATGTTATCAACTTGCAATCAAGTCCAATCGCATCCTGATGTTACCGAAAGAACGTGAAACCCTAGCAATGAACTGTGATGTGGACTCCTCACGTGACCTGGCTTGTCGTTTCACGTGGGCATGTGCCCATGCGTGCCCCATAAAACTCTGACTACGATCTCGCTAACTCGCGCTAAGAACAGTGGGGAAGCGACGCAAGCAAACGAGCTCCGCAGACTGAGGCAGCAGTGGGCAGCAGCCGCTGCCCACTGTTACCGAGCCAGAAGGCGATACTCCCCCAATGTGCATAACGAGACAATGGGTCGGAAAGAGTGGAACTTCCACTGTGGAAGCCAATGTTACGGAGACAGGTCACCAAACTCGCAGAGCATGTCGAATACGGTAGACGTTGAAAAATGTGGGGTTGTCGATAGGTAGTGTGCAAACGAAGTAGAACGCCACCCTCCCGCCGCCAAGATGGTGGATATATTGCAACCAAACCGCGCCAGATCTTCAGCGTGCCCTCGGCGAAACGCGTGGCTCGTAAAAGAGGAAGCCGCTGGGACACGAAGGCGTTCCAGATAGAAACGCAAAGTGTTGGTGAACGCACGAGGAGAGATGAGGGTGAGGCGATCGCGGTGGGGGTTAGAGAAGGTGAGTAGCCGAATGAATGCGCGATGAGGACAAGTACGTGGAAAACTAGAGCACGTCCAAGTGCGGGTGAAGGTGTGGCCGTGTGACCAATTTTTGCGATGAGGCAAGTGGACCCTCAAAGAGTTCGATGGCAAAAGATGAATATCACTTTTGTTCAGCTGCAACAATTCGGACGGAGCCCTCGCCAGGAAGTGATAAGCGAGGGAACATAGACAACTAAACTCATGATGACCGGAAGATTCGGCTTGGAGAACCAAACGATGAAGCAGTGAAAAGCGGATCCGAGACTTGTTGGAGGGGGAGGGCGTGGCGGACCGCCACTGGCGGTGGATAAACCGTGGAGGATAGCCCGCACCAACGGGGTATCCGCCGTAAAGCTGACCGCTAGCAGGTCGTGGGCTTTACGCAACGCAGCCAAGTACGTGCGAGCCGTACCCCCGTTACGGAATGTCCCCAGCCACGCCTGGATCAGGGAGGGCGAAGCCGGCAACGAACCGAGAGAGGCAGGTTCAAACCAGGCGACGAAAGATCTCCAAGAGTCCAAAGCCGCTGCGTAAGTACGGGCGGTGGCGGGACGAATAGCTTGCAAGGCAAGCCGCCAAGACTGGAAGGATAAAGAGCGAGATTGAGGCGAGCAGAGCAAGGTGTACACAGGAAGTCGCACTCGAGTAGAACGATCAGTTGTGGCTCCCCAGAGGCGGAGAGCCGAGATGAGTTCGAGAAGGGTGGAGGGGATACGGTCGGGGGAAGACATGGAGTAGAGGGAAGTAACCACCCAGGGGCATTGAGAAGGGACGGACACAACAAATGACGTACGTGTGAGAGAGAAAAACCGATTTGAAGCTGGGCCAGCGGCAGAAGGCTGTGGAAAACTTGGGTTGTACCCGGAAAAAAGGTGGGGCCCACACTGTGGGGCATAAAAAAAGAGAGAATAAAAAAATATGAGCGAGAAGTCGAGGAGCCAGTCGCTTTAAAGGCGGGCGGGGGGTTGCTGGGTTCGACTCCACTAGAGGTAGAACGCTTAGGCTGATCGAAAGAAGGGGGAGGCTGGCCGTAAGGACGGCTACGGAAAGACCGAGCCGTAGCACTTGGGAAGCGTGAAGCGCGAACAGGAGCGCCTGAACGCGCAGCTAGCATACGATCCACAGTTATCTTGCACTCGGCAATCAGGGACGAGTCCAGACTGATGAGACCTTCGGCTAGGCGGTGTATGCCAGCTCGAACATCAATAGCCATACCCCGCCGACGGCAGTCATCGTATAAACGGGCTGTGAGAATGCCATGATGTTCGAGGACTCTATTACAGGCGTAGGCATGACAGAGCACCGAGGCCAGGCCTATACCGGTATTAAGGAGGGCAGTAACACTCCACGCAAGCAGAGCTAGATTGAAAGCACCGGGTTTGAGCGGGATCTGAAGGAGATCGGAGCCGCTTCCACGGGACCCCAGGGTGTCTCTCCTGAGCGTGGGGACGAAACCAGTATTCCAATAGTCTCGTGGACATCAGCTCTATCGATTGATCAGTACTACTTTACAGTAGAAAGTACGCGGATCAGCTAACGCTCCGTATTTCACACGACTCGTGTGACACGAGGATTAGAGTGATATCAAAAGCGCATGTTGTACGATCCGAGATGAGGGGCCAAAGAAGAAATATATTCGTGAGCGTCTCAAATATTTAGTAGATGATCATTTAGTAGGGTCTTCATTACACGTGCGAAGCTTGTTCCCCCTCATCTTACGTGGAGACTTATTAACTCGACCTTCCGAGCTCTATCACCCTGTTGTAGTTGATATAATATATCCTACGGATAGATCGATCACATAAAGAGCCCGTCTCTTC